AAGTGGGCAAGTGAGGATGTCCCCCATGGTGTAGAGTGGCTAGGGCATGACGGACCATACTCGGTAAGTCAACTACATCCAACACCTCATTCGCTGGGTACCGACATCCTTGCAAGGGTAGGATGAGTATCATACCATCTTCACCTCAAGTCCAAGTGTCAAGAGGGAACCTAACATTCGACTCCAGGAACTCACAGGGTAGCATAAAGCCAAGGATCTGGGAATGTGTTATCTGAGGGAAGTCCATCGCATGCACTCAACCCCCTGCGACCATGAAACCAGCCCAAAACAAACACAGGTCAGTAACAAACTCATCACCCAATGAGGGAAAAACCCATGACATAAGGAGAAACAGGCCACATAGACCTTTTGCGACCCACAACACAGAAGACAAGTCGAAAAGGAAAGATGGGCAACCCAAAACCTGTGTGAGGACTTATATGATTGGTTCATTTGATCTCCAAAACCATGCGAGAGTAGGAGGTGGGCACCCAATCGGAGGATAAACTGCATTTGGGCATCTCAACTCTAGGAAATAGTCGCACAACAAGAGGATCTTGTAACTCCCTCTACACTGGCAGAACACCACTGCACTACTCTGAACCGAATGGTTATACCATCGTTGTGGAACTCATCCAGCAGGTTGCCTCCATGGTCAACCACCCCAGTGGCTTGGAACTGGTAAGGACTCCCATGCTCCACTGGGGGGGAGGGGGGTAGTGCAGTAGAGAGTCCAGACAGACTGCAACACCCGAGACAGTGCAATGGGTAATCACGAAACCCTATTTTGAAAAGAAGAACACACTGTTTTTTCAATCTAGGCATGGCTGGTACAGTCTGGGACAGGCATATTATGATGCAGTTATCACAAGGAATTTACACTCTAATGATCTTGTGAAACACCCCATCTCAAGGGTGAGCATAAATAGACCTGGATAATGTATAAGAATCATCATGGCTTACAGTGAGAATTTGATATCAAGATGTCGGCAAATGATTATAGCCATCTAAGTGGAACACATTCCGAGTACAGACAGAATGCCTGTCAGATACCACTCGCTACATAGCGGAAACCAAAGTGAAGTTGAAGCAGGGGGCTTCTGAAATAAAAGAAAGCATTAGTGAGGGCTTACCTCATGTCACAACCATGCCTAAGCCTGTAGAATAGCCACATGTGGCAGGCAATTCCCCCGAGGAAGCAGAAACAGTGATATAGTATAGGTAGTGGGAGATGAACGTGTGCAGAGTCATCCAGATGCCTGATCATAGAATTTCTTCCAATGGCCGACAAAGAAGACAGACAAGGGAGAAGGTAAGGTGACGGATTTGATATGAGGAAACATGAAAAAGATCACGCTAGGAAGGAGACAAGGAGGATAAGACCAACTAGATCAAACATCAAACCCAATTGGTCAGGGTAATCAGGAAAAGATCACGGAAAAAGGAAGGTTGCCAAGGGATAAAAAGGCAGGAACAAGGACCCTCGAAGGAAGCTGTGCGAACAATAGAACAAAGGAGGATATGGAGAGGACAAGAGGAGTCTATCTGGATCAGGAAAAGGGTGGAGATGAGATATAGAGGATAGGCAGATAGGAGAAAATGAGCCACAGAGGCCTTAGGAAAGAAAGCATGATAGGGATAAAGGATAAGGTAAGAGAAGTGGTACAAGGTCCTGGTAATTTCGAGGGCGAAAAATATCTGACCTACGATGCCTGCAGGCCAAGAAGAGGAGGAAATATGTCTTCAAAGAGAGGCAAAAAAAAAAGGAAACACACTGACAGAAGTTCGAATGTAGGTAAAGTGAGGGCATGAAGGACCACATTAATGTCACAGTCCGGGAGCAACGGATGCCTCAGTGGCCAATGGAGCTGGAAGGAATGGATCAACATGGAAAGGACAGGGGAAGTAAAGACCCTGCAGAAGTTGAAAAAATGGAATGTATGGGATAATGCACCCCAAACCCTGAAATCGAGGAGACTGAAGAACCCCACTCAAGGAGCCACGTGAGAAACTTGTAGATACAGACAACCACTGGGTGAGAAGCCTGGAAACCATGAGTAAATGCCCAGGAGTGATAAATTTCAATTTGCATTGATAGAAGGCCAAATGGAATGGACTAAATGTGATGCTACTCTGCAAGAGAAACTGGAATTCCTCGCCAAGGACCTGACGAAAGCCAGGCATGAAGATGGAGGATGGATGGCACGAGTTGGAGCACTAGTGACTGGAATTGATGGAGTAGTCAGGATGGAAGAGAACAGGAAGGGGAGAGATCACCTGCAGTTGGAGCAATCGAGGAAACCAAGGTTGAGCAGGCCAATAAGGAGCAATCAGAAGGACCATGCACATAGTGGTATGGGCGAGGAAGACCATCCAATGAAGTAAATGGATGGGAGGGTACACATAAAGGAACAGATGAGTCCAATCATGGCTGAAGGCATCGACAGTGAAGGCTTGAGGATGGGGGACCAGGAACAAAACTGAGGTAATCTGTGATTGAGAGTGGTTGCAAAGGCATCGATAAGGAGTGTACCCAGATGCAGACAGAGCCACCGAAAAATGGTAGGATGCAGAGACTGTTCCGTGGGATAAACTAGATCCAGTAGGTAAAGTGAGGAGTGTGAACATAATGATTAGGATGGGATAAATGGATAACATAATGCTAATCCCTAGTCTTCTTGGGAACCACATACAAGTGGGAGTAAAACCCCTATGAACCTGATGAGCCGGTTCGATAGCCTGTTATGGCATGAGGTCTTGAACCACCTTTGACAGATGCTGGCATGTCAAGGGATCCCAAGGAGAAGGGAATAGAATAGGAACACTGCATATTGGAAGAAGAGAGAGAAAGGGGAAGACGATTCCCTCCAAGAGCACCTTGTGAACCCAGAAATCGGCAAGAAAAGGTTCCAACAGATGAACAAAATTCAAAATACAAGCCCCCACTGGGCCTGAACAGACCACAGTCACCTGTACTGCTGTTGGCGAATTGTGTGTCGTGGAGTAAATCACTGAACTGTGACACCTGGAGAGTGGGATAGGAATAGGTTGGGAAGGGGATGATCGGGGGACAAGAATTGGTGCTGTGCTTGGCCCTGACTGCAAGAAACAAGTTACCAAGTTAATAAGGGTAGAATGTTGATGGATCGAGGCCACCCACAACTCTAAAGACTCAGGAACCGAGTCAAACACATAACGCTGCAAAAATGAGGAAATGTGGAGGTCCCTCAGATAAGGAGCCTGGAGATGGGTTTGTGTCAAAATCGCATCATGGGCCAAGAGGTCCCAACAACAGACAAATCAAGTTTGAACAACAAGAGCTAAAAAAGATAAATGAGCCAAAGTAGAAGTAAGGATGAAGAGGATTACAGCAGAAAAACCCTTCAAGGTTCCTGCAAAAATCCTCTGACAGAAGGTGAAGGGAAGAAAGATACATGAGCAGGGTCGTGAGGGTGAGACGAAGGCGAAAAATTGGGTATGGGTACATTTCACAGGGTAATCTGGATTCACCCCCCAAACAGGTAAAACTGACCCCAACAACTGAGCAAACAAGGGATGATATATCGACCGACAGGTCACCCGTGGCTGAAAATATGGTATCAGGCACTGGCAAAGTACCTGAAGTGGTGACTGTAACTTCAGAATTAATAAGTGGGAAAGACAAGGAAGTAATGCTTTATTAAAAATATTAACTCCATAACTGTGAAGTGTTGGAAATAAAGTTAACAAAAATATGAATAATGAAAAAATAAAATAAACCATTTCAAGGAAACTGAATAATGTAAAAAAGAACATCTGGACTCGACAGCTGCCAAACGAGAAGTGATAGTTCGATAGTGGCGTGTAGAGAGAGTCACACGCGTCACGTGATAGTCATGCTCTCCTATTGGTGGAAAGGTGACGCATGATGATTTGCATGAGAAACGTGTTGGAACTTTGAATTCCAACAGATGGAGGATGAAGGCTTGGGGCATGCGTTTCTGAAAAAAGTTTGCAAATAGAGGGCAGCACAAAATAAGAAAAGCTAATCTTGTGAGAGGAGAGAGAGTACCTTATCAGAAAGTATCATCACAAATACATAAGACAAAATTTGCTGTCAAGTGTGCACCTACAACATCCTTCTATTAGTGATGTGTTCCATTCATCATATTGTGGGGAGCTAACCTATGCAAGTACACAAGACAAAACCTCTGTAAAGTGTAAAACTACATCTTGCTCTTAATCTTGTGTTCCATCCATCATGTTGTGGAGAGATTACACAAGACAAAACCTACTGTAAAGTGTAAAACTACATCTTGCTCTTAATCTTGTGTTCCATCCATCATGTTGTGGAGAGATTACACAAGACAAAACCTACTATCAACTGTGAATTAACATCCTATTATTACTATTGTGTCATTTCATCTTAGGAACATTTTAGTTGTTCACAGCCAGAAATCTGTTTCACAGGGTCACAAAAGAAACATGCCAATGAAGTAGAATATAATTAAAACACAAATCACAACTAAAACGAAACGGTTTAAAGTTAAACTTTATTTTACTTACTTATTAATGACAATTTATTTTCTGTAATAACAAAAGAAAGTTCAAATTAAATATTAACAATAAGTTCAGCTTTAATCTTTCATAATGTACTTGTTTTCTATTCTATTTTATGTGAATAAAATGCAAACTAAGGCCACAATCAAACTAAACCAATATATCTTCAATTTCTAGTATTTGTTTTTTTATAAGTGTATTCAATAGGAAACTTAACAAAAACTTAGTTTCAAATGTTGTATTCAAAGTGAAAATACAAGCAATCATAAAACTACAAACAAGCAAAATATCCTAAGGTTTCACAAAAACACAGATAAACAATATATAATGTGTAAGTGGCTTGTTAACTATTGGTTCGAAGTTAAAAAATTAAATACAATACTGGAAAAAAGTAGAACTATAGAAATACTTAAAGAGTAAAAAAAATGTATACACTTTCTAATGAGTCATGTTACACCTACTTTTAATTTGTTGTACGTCTTTGAATGGTTCTATTTCTTCCTTGGGATATTTTTCTTGCAGTCTCTTTATCCACTGATCATAAATCAGTCGAAGGATTTTCTCATCAAGCACTACTCTTAGATCATCTGAAGACAGAGTTTCTGTCAAAGTAATACATTACTCTTAAGTTATTGGAAGATATTTTTATACCAAATAATATATTACTCTTAAGTTATCAGATGTTTTCATACCAAAGTAATATGTTACTTTTAAGTTATCAGATGTTTTTATACCAAAGAAATACATTACTCTTAAAATTAAAAACAAGATAAACATTTGAAATGCACAATCAAATTTTTATTTGGCCAATGGCCAAAATTAAAAAGACTCTAACAGTACAGTAATATTACCATATATACAAGGTATAATTAACCAAACTGCCAATGTATTCAGAAAAATTACCTTAATTCTATTTTTAAACCATTTAACAAAATTAAAACAATACTTACTGGTATTAAAGATAAAAAAAAAGGACATTTTAGAGGAAAAAGGTATATATATATCAAATTACGTGTGAATGCAACAAAAATATATTTGTGAAACTAAACGTAATTTGAAATATTGTCTTAATGAACTTAAAGGTTATGTATGTAACATAAAAGTGTAAACTTCTCTTTCTGAGCATATTGTTGAAACAGGTCATTCAATACAACGGCAAGAAACAATTTAAATAGCCAAAGTGAATTAAATATTAGAGAATCAATAGAAATTTTATGCAGTACAATAAATAATTCTTTGTTAAATAGAGATGGAGGGTTAGCTGGTGATAATGTACAATACTCACATCATCCTCAGAGATTATAAGTTAAACTGTTGCTTTATAAAATTACTCGCTTGTCATGTAGGTTTTTACTCCTGATGATGGTAGTGTGAAACTACCAAAATATATTGAGTCTTTTTTAATTAAGGCTATTAGGCAAATAAAATTTTACTGTGTATTTTAAACATTGATTTTTTTTTAGTTTTAAAATTTATTGCCATAATTGAATCTACATTACTCTTAAGTTATCAAAAGATGTTTTAATACCAAGTAATTTATTCTTTAGTGCTCAGAAAACATTTTTATACCAAAGCAATACATTAACTCACAAAATCTATAAGTTATTGAATACTTTATTAATTAAATACAATGAGAATTACTTAACATAAATAACTGCAAAATAAAAGAGGATAAAGGTTTGTCAATAGCACCATTTGTACACCTTTGCATGGGCAGCACTTATGAATCAAAGAATGTCTACATGATAATTGATCTCTGCCCATGTACATGCTTGCATCTCCAGAGTAATCGCACAATTTGCATCAGTTATTCAGCCATGCAACATTATCCTAACTGATGCCTTCATATTAAAAAAGATATGCTTTACATCCCCCCCATCTAAACAAGGGAAAAAAAAACCTTCAGACATAAATTTAACATGCAGCAAACTGCAACTGTTTATCTGGTGTAGTTCCTATTCTGTTGAATTAATAAAGTGGTTCAACAACTCATGAAAATTCTGTATATCTCACTAGTATACATGCTATATGATTTATTCTGGGATGCTAAAAACAAAAATCTTATAAAAATATTTATTAAAATTTTAATTAATCTCTTCTTTATTGTTCATAGTTGCACAAATACATTAATAAGTAATATTTAAGTCTCAAAAATACTTATCACTACTTTGATATAAATAAAGATTTGTATAAACTATTCAAATTATCCTAGATGTATGTACAATGTAGGTTTACTTAGGAGTCCTGAGGATGACGTTGTAACGTCGAAACATGTAGAGTCG